CGCCGCCCGCGCGTTGATTGTCTCTCGTCTGCTTATTTATTAGTTAGTTAACGTAGAGGTATGCAGATCTGGTGGGTGCACCCGCCGCCACCACCCGCGCGTTGATTGTCTCTCGTCTGCTTATTTATTAGTTAGTTAACGTAGAGGTATGCAGATCTGGTGGGTGCACCCGCCGCCACCCGCGCGTTGATTGTCTCTCGTCTGCTTATTTATTAGTTAGTTAACGTAGAGGTATGCAGATCTCGTAGGGACACCCGCCGTGTGTATTTAGTTATTTAGTTTGTTTTTTAGTTCGTTCGCGTATTTTCTTTTTTTCTCATTTTTTAAATTTATTTTTTCGTTGCGTGCGGTCCGAGCGTAGAGGTACGCAGACGTGACGTGGTAGGTTCGTCATTGTTTAATCAATGAATTAATTGTCATTGATACTTCATTGATTGGTACGCAGACGTGGTGGGTTTGTCATTGTTTAATCAATGAATTAATTGTAATTGATACTTCATTGATTGGTACACAGAACTGGTGGGTTCGTCATTGTTTAATCAATTAATTAATTGTCATTGATACTTCATTGATTGGTACTCAGAACTGTGGGTCGTACATTGTTTTTAATCGAGATGAATTATATTGTCATTGATACTCCTGGATTGTACGCGCAGCACCGTGGTGAGGTTCCGTACGTCATTGTTTAATCAATTAATTAATTGTCATTGATACTTCATTGATTGGTACGCAGAACTGGTGGGTTCGTCATTGTTTAATGAATTAATTAATTGTCGTTGATACTTCATTGATTGGTACGCAGAACTGGTGGGTTCGTCATTGTTTAATCAATTAATTAATTGTCATTGTTACTTTATTGATTGGTACGCAGAACTGGTGGGTTCGTCATTGTTTAATCAATTAATTAATTGTCATTGATACTTCATTAATTGGTACGCAGAACTGGTGGGTTCGTCATTGTTTAATCAATTAATTTATTGTCATTGATACTTTATTGATTGGTACGCAGAACTGGTGGGTTCGTCATTGTTTAATCAATTAATTAATTGTCGTTGATACTTCATTGATGGCCGTCGTCATGCTGTCACTTAGTTCGTTTGTTCATTTGTTTGTTTGTTCATTTGTTCGTTTGTTCATTTGTTTGTTTGTGTGTGTATTATTTTCCGTCGCGTTTCTCCGCAGCAAGCAGCTCTGCGTCGACGTTCAGATTCCGGCGGCGTTCGGCGGACACGGTGGTGGCGCCCTCTACATCGACACGGAGGGAAGCTTCTACCCAAGGCGCGTCGCGCAGATGGCTGAGGCCGCCGTCGCTCACTGTCGACACATCGCCGAGACAGATGATGCCCCGGGTAAGGTGGCGGCCATCTTGGTTACTCATAAGGTTATATATACATGATATATGTATATGTATATTATTATGTATATATATATATGTATAGCTCGTGGTGTAGGGTACATACAGGTTTATTTGTAGATAATATAGGTTACATATATATATATATATATATATATATATT